ACATTGAAATATGCATGCGTTGTCAAAAACCCCTGTAAGCTGGCGCTGAGCGACAATGGCACCTACTGCCACTGCCACTGCCACTGCCACTGCCACTGCCACTGCCACTGCCACTGCCACTGCTGCTGCTACTGCTACTGCTACTGCTACTGCTACTGCTACTGCTACTGCTACTGCTACTGCTAGCGGTAGAAACAGTTCGGGTAGTAGTGGTAGTCACACGCACGAGACACGCATCAGCGGCATCCCGGGAGAGGCAAAAGGAGAGGAAGAGAGAGCGAGCGAGCTATAAAAAAAACGAAAGAAAAATAGAGAAAGAGAGAGAGAGAGAGAGGAAGAGAAGGTTTGAAGACGACAAGAGGACTACCAATCGCAAGCGTGAGGCGGCGATCAGGCTGCCCGAAACCTCCCCTTACTGCACTTACCTTACATAGGCAGGTGATTGGCTGCCCACCCCAAGACTGCAGATTACCGCCGGATCGGTCCTGAGCTGGGTCATGCACCTACGCCAGCCCCGCTTCGCTCCCAAATGCTTGGCCCCAGTACAAGCGTCGGACGGCTTGATGCTGGGATTCATGCAGGTCCCGGCTCCGAAGTGCATAGCCCTCAATGTGGATGCTCGAAGAGTTGATGTTTGCATGCTTAATCCCACGTGTCCCGGCGCAAAGATACTAGGTCAAGTCTAAGTGACTTGAGGTAAGTCCATGAGTCCATGCTTATTACCAGAACATGCTCGGAATGGCTTCCCCTCCAGTGCGCACCTTCCCCGGGACGACTTGACAGAGCGCGGTACGAGTTAAGGCAACCCCACTCCTTTAGTAGTGAATCTTTGATGTAGGCCTAGAAACTACGGACAGCAAGAGGCATGCTGCACGCGATTGCGATGTTCAGGGTTTTGGGAGAATGGGGCTTGGAGCTTTGGAGTTCCAGTTTGATGGGTCTGATTAGGAGGTGGGATTGATGCTTAATGATCGAGGTCTAGGTTCTGAGGTAGATTGCCAAAGGCCACTACAGAACTATAGTGCGCACATGACTAAGGTGACGAAGGTTGGACGAGGACTCATCAACATGGTCCTTCCTTCCACGATCGTTAGTGTTGATATCTGACCATCCTAACCTGAAGACCCATCATGTGTGTGCGACAAGCGATTACTGCGCCTACCCGTCTCACAGCCACGCAACTTAACTGAATTCAATGCCACGGGATCCGATGGGCCTGCACTCGGCGTCGTTCATCAAGGATCAGCTGCCCATCTCGACTGTCGACATCGTACTTGAAAGAGAAAAGCTCGGCCAAATTTTTCCTGAGATGTGTCAAGATTGGCGATTTGAGACTCAAGTCAAGGGCTGAAGGCATGGAGTCATGGGGCGTCGTAGAGTGAAGCTGCATTGCGTTGTGCGCACACACAACACACATGCGAGTGTGTTGCCGTGCACGAAGAGTTTGCCTCCGCCATCCCCATGACCTCTGGCGGACGTGTGCCCTTGGATGCGTGTCTTTTGTTGCGCACATCCCTCAAGAGGGCAAACAAGGAAAACGATGGAGGGAAGGATGGATGGATGGATGCGTGGACGCGTGCACGGGTGGATGGGTGGATGGGTGGATGGGTGGATGGGGGGATGGGCGGATGGGTGGATGGGTGAGTGGGTGGGTGGATGGATGGGTGGATGGATAGATGGACAGGTAGACAGAAAAATCAGAAAGAAAGACAGACAGATAGATAGACAGACAAACAGACACAGAGACAGACACAGAGTCAGATAGATAGTTTGATAGATAGGTAGGTAGGTAGGTAGGTAGGTAGGTAGGTAGGTACGTACGTAGGCAGGTAGGTAGGTAGGTAGGTAGGTAGGTACGTAGGTAGGTAGGTAGGTAGGTAGGTAGGTAGGTCGGTAGGTAGGTAGGTAGAGACAGAGAGACAGAGAAACAGAGAGACAGAGAGATAGACAGACAAACAGACACAGAGACAGACACGGAGCCAGATAGATAGATAGATAGATAGACAGACAGACAGACAGACAGACAGACAGGTAGGTAGGTAGGTAGGTAGGTAGGTAGGTAGGTGGGTAGGTAGGTAGGCAGGTTAGGTCGGTCGGTCGGCAGGCAGGCAGGCAGGCAGGCAGGGAGTAGCTAGGTAAGTAAGTAAGAAGG